CCCAAGATAATGGCATGGGCCAGATCTTCAACAGAATCGTGGAAGAAAATTTCCCAAAATTAAAGAAAGACATGCCCATACAAATACAAGAAGCATATAGAACACCAAACAGACAGGACCAGAAAAGAAACTCTCCATGGCACATCATAGTAAAAACACTAAGTGGATAATGAAAATGTGATTCATTTATGGGATGGAGTTTTACTCAGCAGTAGAGAAAGATGAATCATGAAATCTGCAGGTAAGTGGATGAAAGTAGAAACTGTTATACTAAGTGAAGTAACACCGACTCAGAAAAAAATCGACATATGTTATCACTCATATGTTGATTCTGGAACCAAATCCTGACAAGTGAGTATTTATCCAGACATAACTACAGGAACCAGGATAATGGAAAGGAACCAGGGATGTAAAGGAAAAGAAAGAACCTGAAAGAGAAAAACAGTAAGAAATAGGCCTTAATAACGGAGATATGGATAAAAATTGGGTTAGTTTAAGGAGGAGGGAGGGAAGTGTATATGAGGAACCTAGGGGATAAAGGGAAAGAAGGAGTTCAAGATAGGTAAGACCATAAGAGGAGGGTATTATTAAGGGAGAAAGGGGGAAAATGGAGACACCTTAATTGGGGAAACCATGATGGAGGGGTTAGATAATGCTAGATAGAAATAATGCCTAGCTAGTTTTAAAAAAAACAGAGGGAACCATATTACTCCAACAACCCACTGACAAATTATACATACAACTAGCTCAAGGAATATAGTACATGTCTAGGCAAGCTTTATCTGAGACTGTTTGGTCTTTGCCTAAGCTTTATCTACGTAGCACATGGTAATTAAAAGTACCAGACTGGTTGGAACTAATCTTCTTAGATATTTAACAGCTTGCTCCTTGCCCTCCTAGTTCGACTAGTTCCAGGGGACTATGAGCATCTCCCCAAATGTCCTATAATTGTGGTGGGTCGCCTGTCCTCTTGATCAAGGACACTGAGGAGACCCCAAGGGATGGACTTGAACCAGTGTCCAGTCTACAAAGAGGAGGGTTAACACAGAGGAAACATTTCCTCCATGCTTCCATGCGAAGCCACCCATGGTCGAGCAGGATCTTTGACTTATCTTCACATAGGCAGAACTGATAAAAGAAAGGAGCCAGGGGCTCCTCCCAAGCCCATGTGACCCCCGAGAAACAGATCCTCAAATGACCTTAAGAGTAAAAATAAGTTGGTTTATCTGGGCCAACTCTATGGCCTTAAACACCCGAAAGGAAAGTATAACCAAAGATTAAAGGGGCCAATATAATTCTTAAGAGTCCATTTGTATAGCTAAAGGTTACATAACAAGCAACAATGCCAGACAGGACATATTTTTTTGAGTTGTTGACCAGAGTGGCCAAATGGTCTCCCAGAGAGTAATCCAGCATAGAACTGGGAAAATGCACAGCAGACTCCCATCTTATCTAAAGGAATATTGACAACTGATTGCTGCTAGATGAGGAACAGCTCACCTTCCTAAAACAAAGACCTCTGGATAGGCTGACTAGATTCACCAGATGGACAATTAGTGGGGAATGGCTGGGGGTGCCGACAACACAGCGGACAGTAGCAGGGATAGCAGAGTATAAGGGCTCTAGTGGGGGGAGAGAGGCTATGGGTGGGTGCCATCTGGGAAGTGGGTGTATAGTTGAATAAGATCGTTTGGGATGTTCTGTGTGATATACACACAGAAAAAATATCAACAACTTTTTTAAAATGCATTATATTTGAGGAGGAAGCATAAAGTTTACATCAAGTTAATTAGTAGAGGTGATGAACATTACCACTGAAATCTCCCTGATGACTTTATAAACATACACAGGCACCAAAGATTAGATTGCAAAACATTATATGTAGTAATAGTTAGATACGTACAGATTAGGGATGAATGCACCAACATCTCAGTGTTAGTAGCAAAACCAATGAGTGTATAAGAAATAGCATATTTTATAATGAAATGGAAATCTTTTTTGAGGGTTAAAAGCTCATTCAATTTTATGTCTTACAGGGCTTATACAGAGTTAAATATTGTATAATTGTATTGATTCATCAGCAAACCTAGAAATTTTATAGCCACTTTTAAAGGAGCTGTGTCTTGGCTCTGGAGAATTTTATTGGCTATGTTAAAGTTGTAATGATACGCTTCTTCTAAAAAATAATATTTAAAAAATGTAGAAAACAGCATATCTTGAAATGGAGATCTTTAAAGGGTAAAAACGCATTCAATTTTATATCTTACAGGTCTTATA